ATAAACACTCATAAATAAATAAATAACTCTATCTGCATGCGGCGCAATTCCGTAACAAATGAAGCGTGTGCGGCGTGTCCGCCGGCCGAACGCGCGCACCCGAGTGGATGTGTCACTTTCACTGGCCGCCAGAGCAACCGCATAACGCGTCCAACGCATGCGAGCGCATGCCGGCCGCGGAAAAAACGAAGCCACTCGCGAGACAATTTCCGCGTTCGCGTTTAGCGTCGGCGCTTTTTTTTCGGCAGCGCCGCGCGGTGCGCGGATTTTCTGCTGCAGCGCGATGTCGCGCAGTGTGTGTGTGGCTTGTTGCGTGCGGTTTTGTTTTGGGCGCGTCGGGCGGGTATTAGCGGCGCTTAATTGCTGCCCAAGTAGCGGCAGCGATTTGAAAGCTCGCGCGCGCTCGCGCCGCGAGAAAGAAGCGTGATGATCGAGGCACGTGCGCGCTGCTCGCGATCCACAACCAACCCAACAACATGCTATTCTCTTCGGTTATGTTTTTCAATTCGCTGCCGCGCAAAAAAAAATTTGAGAGAAAAATTTGCGTTTGCGTAATGCCAGCGTAATGACAACATAATGGCCGCGACGAAAACGATGCCAACGTGAGTCTCTTCAAAACCAGAGCGAGAATATCATTTTCGACATCGCTGGTTTTGTTCAGCTCATCAAAACGCGACCCAACGACAACAAAACCAGATTTTTTCGCGGGTTTCATATTTAATTAGACGATTGCACAACGCGCGCGGAGATAGATTTTTGAAAACGTCGATAAAACGATGGAAACATCATGTGGTCAGAGCAGCGCCGGAGCAAAATGAAAGTACATAATGTGACGTCCAGATCATAGCCACCGATCACAATCGGAGTGTTACGCACATGTCCAATTTCTAAACGCGCCGCGACATCTTATTATCCAGCCGGCTAATGCGTACGCGCGCTTATACGGTGGGAACCCGATTAATTAAATCATCAGCGCGTATCCTTGGCGCGTTTTTTCATTTTATTATCGACGTATCTGTTATTCGCGCGAGAATTCGATCCAATTACTGCAGCCGGACAGATGGACAGTTGCATGTACGAATAGCTGCTCTGTTGGCCGAAAGCGAGAAACAAGGCAGAAGGTAACCTAACGGAATTTAATATTGTCCGGCGGTGGATTTGATGGCGGCGCGGCGTGCGTGTGGAGATCGAAAATCAGAGTATATCGATCTAGGCGTGGCCACTTTACTATCACTAGCTGGCGAGCGAGACGTGTGCACTCGACCAGCGCGAACACCATCTCCAGCCGCGGATCGCGAACGCTCACTCGCCGCAACCGAAAACAACAATCACCGCGCCAACCGCCGCCCGTGCACCGAGAGGAGAAATTACTAAACTGATCTGCATTCCGCGGAATACGCGCGGAAATCATTACAACCCTTTGTTTTGATGAAAAACGCTGGAAAAACGCTTTGTTTCAGTAAAAACGACAAAATTTTGAAAATTTCTTGTAGCAAGGATGGAAAACAATTCTTTACACACTGCAAAACATGTTTTCCATATGCCCGACATGAAAAGCACGTCTTTCAACGCCCCCAGAATGTACAGAAAACAGTGTTTTCCACTCTTGATATGTAATAAACATTTTTTAAGAATAAAACTATTTTTTAAGAAAAATACGTTTTTCAAGGAAAAACAACTTTTCAAGAAAAAATTATTTATTACATACCATGAGTGGAAAACAATGCTTTTCCGAATGAGGTAAAATTGACAAATGCATGAAAATCTTAACTTTCCATCTTTTGTACCGAAAACCGTGTTTTCCACTCTGGTAGCAAAAACAACGTTTATTAAAATTAAACAATCGTTTATTACGCACCAAGAGTAGAAAACAATGCTTTTCCTACGGGGCTAACTACACACATGCATGAAAAGCTGTATTTTCCACCTATGTGTACAGAAAACGATGTTTTCCACGCTGATAGCAAATAAACATTTTTTCAAGGAAGATAGATTTTTTCAAGGAAAAAATGTTTATTACATACCAAGAGGATTGTTTTCAAGGAAACAATCGTTTATTACGCCCCAAGAGCAGAAAACAATGCTTTACCTACTAGGGACAAACTACATAGGGAAAGTAGCCATATTTGGACCATTTTTATATTTTTGATTTATAGAGCCACATATAAACTGTCAATAAAAAGTAAGTAGCGGAAAAGTAACTCACAAGGCTTACCAACAAAATGATATTTTTGGTTTAAGTAAAAATTATATTTATACCCCTCAAATTTCAATTTAAAAAAATTGTGTTTTTGGTCCAAATTAAGAAACCGGTTTCCTAAATTGGACCGCGCGGTTTCCTAAATTGGACCATGCTTTTTTAACGGCAATTGACACAATAGTAAATTTTAGTTTTAGCAGTAACACAAGCACATTTTGTATAAACCAAAGTGCGGCATTTCATACAGTGGATCATTTCGAAGATTTGTGCTCGTCCACAAGCTTTTCTAGGAGGTCGAAAAAAATGATATACGTTTTCCCTGTTAAAACCCGGTGCCTGTCTTCGGTCCAACTTGGGCAACTTGAAGAATTTATATTTAATGATCAACGACAATCTTAATATAACATAACCTCTCAAAATTAATACTATAAATTATAGATAAATAAAGAAGCTTTCTGATGATAAAATAAAAATCGGTAAAACTAACGTTTAAACGGCTTGACAGCTCTTGCACTTACGTCGTTATAATAGATTTGATAATCAAGAATACACGAAGTTGTTATCACGACGAAAGCACGCGGCAAGTTTTAACCCAAATAGTTGCATTAATTGTTTATAAATACGAGTAAAACAAGGGGCCAGTCTATTTTTGCACAAACTTCAACAGTCCGCGGATATCGTGGTGGTCCAACTTAGGCGCTGGTCCAACTTAGGCTACCTTCCCTACATGATGCGTACTTGGTGATGTTTAGCGCAGTGCGCAAATGGCGAACGATGTGTTAATGAATTTTAATGAATTTACAACTGCAACAAACATGCGCGCAGGTTTGATTTACGAACGTCGTAAAAAGAGTCCCGCGTGCGCGCGCGCTCCTCGGACTTGTTGATAGATTTTTTACGCGCTTTTATTGGACTTTTACCGCTGCGCTACGCATTCCTCGAGCGTGTACGGCCCGCGCGTAATGAACGCAATAAAAATGTAACAAATGCAACGAATGTCTCTCGAAAACCCACAAAAAAACAAGATTTTTTCAATGCTTGCGGATGTTTAACTATCCAGTTGTTATTCAACTCTGAATACTCATTTCGCTAAGGCGAATTTTTGATCGATTCGCTCTGCTCCCAGATTTGCGCTGCTGCTGTGGCAGCTCGTTGCCGGGTTCGTTAGCGCGCGACAATGTGTACTCGCGCATTGCCGCAGGGATTTATTAGACGCGGGCGAGAGCGGTACAAAAGCCGCGAGCGGTTGGGAAAAGGAGGGACGTGGACGGCGGCGCGCGGCTGCTCGTTCGCTAATCAGCGCGCATGTGGGAGGCATACATTATTCACGCCGTCCGTCGCACCGCGTTACGTTCCGACTCGCTCCGCGCATGCTATGCACTGCCCATTTCGGACCACTACCAATCATTACTTCCAAAACCGTCGGAAAATCACACTTACTAATTTGCAAACTGTGCATCTAAGCATCCGCGCGCGCGCCTTCATTAAAATCCACCTGCTGACTGAAATCTTGCGCGTTATATCATATCACATATTCGCTGTGGTGATGATCGGGCAAATGACTGCACTTGAACGCCGTTTTTTGCACTTTGAATCAATTTGCTGAAGAGAATTCCGTTCACCTGGCGCGAAGATGGCCACAAATGCGATATTAATAACGTTGCGCAAACGGCCAGCGATTGTGAATGCGATGGCATAACGGAGGCGTCGCGGCCGCCGTTTTTGTGCGCCTTTTGCAAGCCGCGACGTGTTTTGAATAGATATTGAATTTGTTATAGTTTCAGCGCGCGCGCGCCCCGGCGTTATTAGCTCGTATTTCATCGGTGACGCGCCGGCACCCGGTCTACGAGCGACCGGCCAGGTGGCAATTGTTCCTAATGCGGTTGACACTTTCCTGATTGAAAATCATCAATCATTTCGAATTTTTGTCCAAGTCCTACGCATTTTACTCGCCATTGCCCGGCGCCTCCACCAAAAAATTTCCCATTGCATTGGAAGAAAAATCACGCAGACAACATAAAAATAAATAAAAATAAAAGTTGCGGCGTGGTCGGGCGGTACGCGCGCAAAAGTTGTTCTAAGCAGGAAGTCGTCGTCGTCTTAATAGCCTCCGCGCAGGCCACTCTCCTTTGGCAGCCGCGCGCGCGCTCCGGTTTCGGCCGATCTCTATTGCGCCGCGTCCGCGTGTCTGTCGCCCGCGAGAGACGCAAGAGTCGTCGATCTAAAGCAGATCACATTCGCGTCCAGCGTCCACACACGCCGCCGCGGCCGCGGGATCGAAGCATTGCAGAGCAGAGCAGCAGCAATAACACTCACACGCGCGCGCGCTCGCCCCGGCCGCTGCACAATTTTTCTCGGAGCGGCGGCGCGCTGGGTTCCGCGTGGCGTGGCCGAGGCTGCGCCGCACCAGATGACCACTTTCGATCGCCGGCCAGCGACATGAGCGCGGAGAACGTTACTTACCGCAAACTGGAGCACCGACACACGCGCGCACACACCGCTATGCGCGATGCTGCGACGAAAAAAGTAAAAGTCACTTAGCTATCGTTTTTGCTAATTGCGAAAACTACACAACTACTACCTAACTACACTCTACCTAATATTATTTTACTTTAAATTAATAATTTTTATCAAAAAATTAAATTTTTTACGTTGGATGTTTTCTTGGTGATGCATTGAAGTCACCGCTCGGAAACGTCGCTGCCGCTGATGTTCCGCCGGTCGCGTAGGCATTGCAGAGCGAAAAATCAGAGCGACCCGCCCGTCATTGGCTCGCGCGCGCTCTCGGCCAACGCACGCATTCGTCTTCGGGAGCGGGCGCGAAATCGCTCTCTTCGCCGTCGCGCGCGCCGCTCGCGCGTATCATCTTAGCATCGAACCTGCCCGCGACGCGCAGCATCCGCTCGCGGACAGTGTCTGTTCGGACGTCGTTCGGAGCAGAGCACCAAGCGCACCGCCGACTCAGCACGCGAGCGCGCGCTCTCGACGCGAGTAAAAGTTTTTCAAGTGCGCTGCGCATTGTTCCAAACTTTGCAAATCAAACTTTTATTATCACATCAGTTAATTACAAGTTGCTCTTCGACCAACAACACATCCAGCAGATCATCACTGACAACTTTATCAGACAACTGTATTCTACACGCACGTGTTTTTCAAGCGCACGTGGCTTTTCAACTTGTCTACACAACCCTAAGACGCCTCGAGTGCGAAATGTGCCACTTGTATCCTCGGTGCCAGGAGAGGATTCGGTGATCCTGCCAGCCGGCCACCCGCAGACTGAACTAATTTCAGTGCAATTGTTGTAAACCGCGCCGGAAGCAGAAAAACAGTGTGAAAATTGATTTTTTGAATAATTTTATCAACGAATACTGTGTTTTGTCGCATCATTTTGGGAAAAAAGTTAAGAATCACAAGTGAGGATTTTGTCGAAGATTTTCATCGACGAAGCCTTCAACGGTAAGTCGCAGTGTAATCCATTTCGCCGAGGACTTCAGCTCGAGTCGCTCGAATTAATTAATTTAAGCATGCTTTCTAACTGTCGCTCGGGCTAGAAATTTGTGTCCTGACCGAGCACAGAATAGGTAATGCCGAATAATGCGCGCAATTAGCCGTGGCTCTTACACAAAAAAAAAGTGAAAAAAATGTATCATAATATCAACGAAATTAAAATTCATCATCTGCCCGTCAAGCGCGGCTGTCACATTGTCATTCCGGCGAATTTCTTTTAATATTTGTGTGTAAATGTTGTGCTGCGGCGAATTCGTTTGCTTGTTTTACGCGGATTCGTCGCGGGCCATTCATTAAGTTGATTATGCGTCGACGTCTGACGAAGACGGGCAAATTACACGAATTTTGTCATCTTTTGTCGTCGCTGGCCGTCGCCGACGTCGTGGATTTCACATGCTTTGCATTTCTTTGTGCGCTCGCTCGCATTACGCTTGTTTTGTCACATCGCGCGGCGCGCAACAGGCACGCGTTTGTTAGTGCTAATTGGATCTGTTTTGCCTTCTCCGGCGGGCCGCGGCCCGTACATTTGAAACGCATTAGGCGGCGGACAACGATTCATTGTCTTAGGCCGTTATTGTTTTTCGGTCATTCAAGACAATTCGTCGCACATATGCAAAAACCCGCAACAAAGTGAACAAAGTGAACAAAGCCACATGACAACAACAACGAAAAAAAAAAAAAGAAAAGAAGAAAAAAACCCAAGTTTTTCAGTTTACGAAAAATTATAGCAAACGAAATAATAGCCGACGACAAAAACGTTTTTCGTGTTAGAGTTTGAAAGACATTTGATTCAATTTGTATTTCGTCTTCATTTAATTAAAAGCGGTGATTGTCGTCGGCGCGCGTTAATTGCGTTGTTTGCAAACGCGGCCGCGAACGACCGCTTCGTTTGTGTTTTGTTGTTTGGTGCGCGCTGAATATAATGCCGCCTCGGAGATGTTACTCCAGTTCCCATATTATTGAGTAATTTCGACGCGCGACGCCGCGGCAGGCCGCGCTCGACAACGCACGCAGTAAACGACGAAATTGTCGAGTCTATTGTTGGTTGCACGGCGCGCTTTTCGTTACATTTTGCGTTCTCACACGCGGACGCAACAATCCGCGAATCAAACAAGAAAAAACCTTACAAATTTGTTGATGGATTACATTCTTTTTCTTTTGCATAGAAAAGAGAAAAATTTACCACTTACCACATTTTTGTTTTCAATGAATGATGATTCCATTTGGGATTTGTTTAACACTATGTCTTGTAGCAGGTTGTCTCATGTAGCAAACAGGGATTGCACGGCAAAGGCTAGGCCTCGGTGTATGGTGGTCATCCTCCCAACGAAAAACCCGCCATCTTGGATCATCTGAAGACAAAACTGAAGCCGAAAATGTATTTTAATAGTCAAAACTTACTCATGCATGTGTTGTAAATCAAGTCAAGTCAATGCTTGTTGTGTAAACAATGATGTCCACTTTGCCCTGCAACCGGTAGAGGTGAGTACCTTTTCTTCCGGCGACAACAAATGACCAAATGGAATCATTAGGTTACGTGACGCGAGTGTCAGCGCAGTGCAGCGCTTGCGCAATCCGCCGAAATCCGCACGTTCCGGATGAGCAAGTAACTTGCGTGTTACATTTTCGCCTGACGCAACGCGCGCGCGCATGCGCCTTGCAAGCGTTGGTCAAAGTTGAAGTGCTCGCAGTTCTTTGAAAATGCACTTTTCGCCGTTTTATGGCGGCCGCTCGTAAACACGACGGCTCGATGCCAACGCCAATCGATCGATCATAGCCGTTGCTCAATCGTTTATGCTCTTTTAATGCTTAAATATATTGCGTGTGGAAAAAAAACGCGCTCGCGCGCGCGCGCGCGCAGAAACGTAATAAAAGTAATGTCAGTAATGTCAAAGCGTTTGACATTTCGTGTAATACGGGTGAGCACACCCACCGGATTAACTCAAACTTCGAATCTAAATCAAAACAGTAAAACAACCGCGCGTGTGATTTCTTCATCGGATTCTTGGAAATGCGTATTTTTCATTATGGAAATAAAATATGAGATCGTTTATGATTCATTCAAATCGCCACTTAGCCACCACTTAGCCGCGCACGCGCTTAATCAATTTACTTATTATTATTAATCCAAAACGATGATTTCGCTCGATGCTGTCGATGTGGTTGATGATGATGATGATGATCGCGCGCCGCGATTATGTTTCGCAAATAAAACATGAATAACGATTATGCAAATGACCTATTGTCTCGGCGCGCTCGTTGCCATCTGGCATCTTCGCGCTTGACGCGCGCGCCTCTTATTAACAAATTTCAATTATACAATTATACAATGCGATAATGATCGTCGTGAGTGCAGCAACAAGTGAGGCAGGTAATTCAGCGCTAATAAACCAACACCTTTCATCAACTCTCACCACAATCCGATGACAATTGACAGCTGATGTGTGAGGTTATGTTTGGTTAATTTTTGGGTGGTGTGGGTGTAGTGTCGCAATCCGCCGCAAATGAATTTTATTGAACTTTACAGCGCAAAACAATTACACAAATGAATTGATTTTATAAAACAAGTTAATTTTTCAATTGTGCAGAGTCGTATTTAATCATATTTTAATTATCAAGTGCGCTAAGTGACATTTTAACCACGTTTAACTTATTTTCACTTTATTTCCGCGTTTAGGTCTTTTTATTTGAACTTTTGTAATAAAAAAAACTTCAAAATAAAGCCACCCCGTGACTAAAGTACTTTAGACATGTCTTTGGCCGTTTGTGATTAAATTAAACCAACACCTTTCATCAACTCTCACCACAATCCGATGACAATTGACAGCTGATGTGTGAGGTTATGTTTGGTTAATTTTTGGGTGGTGTGGGTGTAGTGTCGCAATCATGCTGCACACAGGGTTGAATTTTATTGAACTTTACAGCGCAAAACAATTACACAAATGAATTGATTTTATAAAATAAGTTAATTTTTCAATTGTGCAGAATCGTATTTAATCATATTTTAATTATCAAGTGCGCTAAGTGACATTTTAACCACGTTTAACTTATTTTCACTTTATTTCCGCGTTTAGGTCTTTTTATTTGAACTTTTGTAATAAAAAACCTTCAAAATAAAACCACCCCGTGGCTAAAGTACTTTAGACATGTCTTTGGCCGTTTGTGATTAAATTAAACCAACACCTTTCATCACTCTTACCACAATCCGATGACAATTGACAGCTGATGTGTGAGGTTATGTTTGGTTAATTTTTGGGTGGTGTGGGTGTAGTGTCGCAATCCTGCTGCACAGCGCTGAATTTTATTGAACTTTACAGCGCAAAACAATTACACAAATGAATTGATTTTATAAAATAAGTTAATTTTTCAATTGTGCAGAATCGTATTTAATCATATTTTAATTATCAAGTGCGCTAAGCGACATTTTAACCACGTATAACTTATTTTCACTTTATTTCCGCGTTTAGGTCTTTTTATTTGAACTTTTACAATAATAATAACTTTAAAATAAAGCCGCCCCGTGACTAAAACCCGTGACTAAAATACTTTAGACATGTTTGTGGCCGTTTGTGATTAAATTAAACCAACACCTTTCATCACTCTTACCACAATCCGATGACAATGGACAGCTGATGTGTGAGGTTATGTTTGGTTAATTTTTGGGTGATGGGTGGGTGTAGTGTCGCAATCCTGCTGCACACAGCCGCTGAATTTTATTGAATCATTACGGCGATTTATGTCGCTCGGCGCGGCGTCCTTTTCCAGCGCCGTCCGTGTTTACCGGTGTTTACGTCCGGGCCGGTCGTAAGTCTGTCCCCGGGCCGCGCGCGCTTAATGTGCTCGTGCGGATCGTGGATCTGGCGGATCGTGCCGCCGACGAGAGCGCCGCAAGCCGCGCGATCGCCCGCGCCTCGGCGTGCATCGCTCGCGTGCCGAAAGAAGCGCGCCCGAAGAAAACGCTTTCGAGCACGGCCGGCGCGCGAGCCGCTATTATATTAGATCGGTCACGTGCCGACCTCTGACCTCAGCGAGAGGCACCTCTAACACCGCGAAAAAATCATTTCAATTTTCCTGCGATACGTTTCTACATTTCAAACCCTAACAATTAATTCCTCGCCACTCGCGAAATAAAAAAAAAGAGATTTTTTCTTCATTACTCGGTGAGATTGAGTCATTTTCAAGCGGTGCAATCGCGTCCTCATCTCTAATTGTAATCTGCGCGCGAGTGAACAATGCGAGCCGTTTTGTTTCGTTTTCACTGCGGCGTTTTTCGCACGCGCAATCCGCGAGTTGCACTTGTTGCGCGTTTTGTCGCCGTGCATCAGCTTCAATATGAATACATAAATATAGAGCAAGGTTAATGACGTCTTTCATACCCGGCGAAATGATGAAAAACTCTCACATTATTGCATTTTCTTCGCGCGTCAGTGTCGCTCGGCTGCTACAGTGACGAAAAACAGATGTAACTGCGGCGGCGTCGTCGTCGTTAATTTGCATAAACAGCGATGATGCCATCATGCAAATCCAGGTGTAAACATGACGACCAATTAAAATCAGTTTATTTCACGTTTACGTATAAATTTTTATTCAAATTGTCTGCAAACACGCGAATTTCGAACGAAAAATGAGAGGAAAATGTCCGGAATTATGAATACATCGCGAGTTGCCGATCGATGGCAGCGATTGCGCTCGATTTGTCCCGATGAAATTATCAATCGGCATCACACGGCGCATTTTACTATGGGAACAGCCATCCCGACCGATTCGCAGCTCGACTAATGAAGCCCGGCCCCAAAGCCGGCCGTGATAACATGCACAAATTGAGAAACTCGCCGCTCGTCGGATGGATAATCTCACCGATCTCTGCGGTGCACATCCTCGGCCATTAACGGATGTTACAGTTCTACCAACTACGGCGCGCGGTCGGCATCGGCATGCGCAGCGTAAAACGCTCGCGTGTGGCGTTTTGCGTTCCCAGCAGTGACAAATCGCGAATTCATCGATGAGCGACGACGACGACGTATAATTAAATTCGTCCGCGATTGCGCGAAGCATACATTAGAATGACTTATTGTTCGCCGATTGTTCTCCGGCGCAGATTCACATTTAATTCGATTAAAGCGTTCGAGCTTTGATTATTATTCCATTAGGGCTATAATTAAATTCATAATATTCCACACACACGCGGCCGGCGCGCGCATTGTTCGCTATGGAAATTTATGCGATTCAACAACGATCCTTTAAATTCTTCTCCGATCGTTGTGTTTTTTTTTTCGTGCTTCACAAGTGTCTTTCACTTTTACTTAAATAAATTCTATTTAAATGACATCGATTTGTGGCCGAAAAAATCGTCAAGTGAACTTTACAGCGTGAAACAATTACACAAATGAATTGATTTTGAAGAGTAAGTTGAGTTTTCATATCTACAGGGCCGTATTTAATCATATTTTAATTATCAAGTGCGCTAAGTGACACTTTAACCACGTTTTATTTATTTTCACTTAATTTTCACGTTTTAGTTTTTGAAATTCACGTTTTCACGTTTTTGTATTGTGAAACTTGCAATTAAAGGCACCCCGTGTGTAAAACCCGTGACTAAAGTACTTTAGACACGTCTTTGGCCGTTTGTGATTAAATTGCCACTTTTCGTGTCTAGAAACCGTAGAAAAAGTGATTAAATGGCAGTTTTTGTCATAAGATTGGTCAAGAACGAGTGTAGCGAGCGCTTAATCAAACGAGTGTTTAATAACTTTTAGCCACGTGATGCTTACACTATTTTTTCTATTTCAATACTATTTTCATGTTTAAATTTATGTATTTATAATTTTGTATTGTAAAACTACGATTAAAGTCACCCCGTGACTAAAACCCATGACTAAAGTACTTTATTGTCTAAAATATCACTTTTCAAGTCTCAAAACCATGAAAAAACTGTCAATTTAAAGCTGAAAGTAGAAATAATTCAATTTTTCTGCCGAGGGTGAAATAATCCTAACCAAATCCGTGGTTTCCGATTGCATAACGCGCGCGCACAATCGAAATTTACATCTCACCTCGCATCCGTCCGCGTGGATTATCATAAACGAAAACAATGCGCGTGACGACGCTGGATCGCGTCGCCCGATCGATTTTCACCACGCCACTCGCTCAGATCTCGCGCGCATCTCGCGATTCAAAGAAATTCAATGAATACGGGATTAGATGGATGATGATTGGACGTGCGCGCGCGCGCGCCCGATGAATAAATGCATGGCTATGAATGATGGACGGAGTTCATTGAGAGACGGCGCGCGCGGCCGAATAATAAATAAATTATGGAAATGCCGGCGATGCCCAAATCGGACGGCGAGCCGCGCGCGCATTACATATTGAGATTAGGCGATTATTAAAATTGAAGATCGCGCGGAGATGAGCGCATTTGCATATAATGTGTTATTACGTCTACGCATCGCCGAGTGTTGGCTGAACTTTGACGCGCGGGC